CAAATTTCTATTTTTCATTTAAATTCGCAAACCTCGTAATCGATTAAGTGAACCTTCTGGCTTTACCCTTTCACAGTGTAATCTTACATAATTATCTACAGCTATTATAAATTCAAGAATGAAATACCATTAGCGCAGACATGTTAGGCAAATCCTGTCGCAACGTAGGTTAAGAGATTAATGCCGTAACTACATATTACATTGACGCGTTCGTGAAAACTAGATGATAAAATGGGTCAACGAGTAATGGGGACGCCAATGAAAAGACCGTTTTAATAAATAGAGAACTCTTACAACGAAGTTTTGGAAGTTACATGAGCTTGTACCACGTTATGTATTTTCCGACTTATGACCCAGTCGGGAAGAAAACCAAACTTTCCTATTGAAATTCCATTTTTTCCCCCTCCTCGGCTCGCGCCGAAAATTTCTTTTTCTTTGTCGTTTGACCGTAAATTCAGACGGCGCTTAAAGCAGCGTTTTAATTAAACTAGTTTAACTGTCATTTCAGTCACGCGAGTTAGGCTTGTGCGTGGCGCTCTTAAATCGACGAGGAGGATTTTATTCCTCAGTTTTATTGTCCCTCCATACGGATTGTGAGCTTTAATATTAATTTCGCGGGACAAAAGAATACAGAGCCTATTACGCTCGGCAAACGACAAAGTATTGCCTCGCATTATAAATTCTTATCCGGCTTTGGAGTTCCCTGATACAGGCAGAGTGACTGAATTGAAATTCAACCGAGGATTAAGATGATATTAATCCCGGAGTAGCATCGAATGGCAGCAGTGAAGACTGAAATGAAAATATAGGCTTATTAATTATTGTACGAATAAAATCGAAAATTTCAATTCCTTATCCTGCACACAAGATTTAATTAAATATTTTACGAAGAAGAAAAGCCGATTTTCTAGGCGTACAAAGAAAATCACATTTGCTTTTTATCTCAATGAATTAAAAATTTCTTTTATTACGTACGAATTTATTTGCGAAATATTATTAAATAATCTGGACAGTTTTTGAGGAAAGTATTAGTAAATAATACTATCTCGTGTATAAGTTGTTTAATCTAATTATTTCTTCCGCGATAAATTCTTTTGAAGTGACTGCTATAGAAAAAAGATACCTTACCCACTACCCTAGATCCAATGATGTATCGGTATTCTCGTTTTGATAACTTCCGCCGAATTTAATGAATGAAACAAATGAGTATATCATTGGATTAGAAAGAAAGGAAAACGTTCTCGTTTATACCTGTATACATCTCGGAACAGGTTTGTCTCATAGAAATTCATTCCTTTTATTTTCATGAAAGTGGGAACGGATGCTCGCATGACTTTTTCATCGCGAGTGCAATTACCAACCTGTCACGAGTTTCCAAGAACCGTTTGTGCTCTCTGGCTCGTCGTCTTTATCGATGGGAAAATATGCTCGTAACCGGGTGTATTGTGTAACTCAGGTGTTTATACAACATGATGGAATTCATGTCGGAATCCAGTGTATCATTACGCACTACCACGCATAGCGTGTTAATTAAAAAAACGACGCAAATGTCTCAAAATAAACGTATCAGGCAGACGCAATACGACATTCAATCCAATAAAAGAAATTGCTAATGGTTACCGACGGAATGTTCACAAAGTTCTTTCGCAACGCGATGAATCTTATTTTCACAAATTATTTTATAAATCTGCCGTATAAATAAATTTAATTCTACCTGTCACGCTTCAGTGTTTGTTTGTAACAGCTGTATCCATAGGGTTGCAACAAAATTAAATAGTGTAAGTAAAGAATGTTTGAGATAAAATGTTATTCAGTATTGTTAATATTTACAGCGAGAGAACATGCTGAAAGCTGATTGTTGAAACTAATGAAATGTACTTAACTTGAATTACCATGATTTTCAAGGATAAAAGCATGACGAATAGAAAGTGCTGCATCAGTTATGCGTTAACTGTCACGCGAACTTCGCGCATTTCATATAAGTGTCAAATGTATGATTCGTAGCAGAGATAAATTTTATTAATTAGAATTATTCATTCATTGTACCGTGGAAACACTTTTTCTCTACCATCGACTTAATAATGAAAAACAGAACTGATAAGGAAATGTTTAGGATTCTTTATTTATGATAGATAAGAAATACTAGATTTTTTATTATTCATGTATCAGTTTATTAATGTACATTTACAGTTCATAATCTTACAAGGAGTGATATTGTTAAAAATAATTAATTGAAAAAATATTCTGTAACATACTTTATTGTATGCGAAATTGTATTCATATAAAATTATTTTTGAAAAATTGGCTGTTTTAGCACGATTACAGTGGTGTTTGTAACTTTTAATAATTAAATAATACATTTTTCGCTGTACACTACTGTTTGTGTCGTTAAATAATTTTTAACAAGAAATTTTATACGGTGGCATTCAACTTGTTTGTCAGTTTTAGGCAAATTGATGTTCATCATCGATGATCACAGTGGCAATCAACGTGGTAACACAGTTTGTAGCCCACCCTTCACACAAGAAGAAAGATGATTTTGTATTAAAAGTCTTTAAACCACATTTTACTGTAAACGATTTCATTGTTATCAAATATGATATTAAAGAAATACTTAAAATATAGAAACAAGCATTTAACGTTATAAAAATTTAAACACCTCTTATTGAATTTCTAATATATAGTGTTCCATTTAATTAGGCATCTTAATATTATTTTAATTACTAACTAGCTTTAGTAAAAATATAATATTTAAAATATGAAAAGTACTTGAAATAAACATTATGAAATAAACATGCAACATAGAATGTTATTATTTATAATTGCAAAACTGAAAATATAGTTGCACATTTTAACTCTGACAATGAAGTACACCGAAACAATTTAGTATTCATCTGCAAATTGAAAAATGATTTTTCTGATTACAGTGTATCTAGATATAAATAGTAATTAATTTGTTAATAAGAATACATTCATTGTAATTATTAATCATATGTTATAAGAAACACGTGTGTCATATTATTTATTAAATTATTGCTTAGAGAATATTCAGGATCAGTAAAAACGCTATGATAATCAAACGGAAAAGTAGATCAATTAACTATTCAATTTCAAAGTTAAACATTATTTTCATATTTAATTAGTCGTTCATATATGTGTAATTATAAATGAATAATCAATTTTGAAAAGTGCCTAATTCTTATTAATTTTCAAGGTATAAGTTACATTTTAAGTAGTATATTATGAAATATGCATTATGGATATAATAGGTATTCCCCGATACATATTTTCTCCGCTGTACACAATCTAATCAATTAAAGGAAATTCACTTTCAAGATCGCGGCTTAGGTACAATAAACAAGAAGGTACATTAAGTGTATTATTTATGTATTTTCCGATAATCAATACTGCTATTAATATTAGCTTCTGAATTAATATTAAGACATCATAAGTTGATGCCATTGTTAACGAAACATTTTTGCTATAGTTACCTTATTATCAGTATATTAATGAAACTTTTAATCTGATTAACTTTGCAGACAATTAGAAGATATAATGACAAAGCAACTTTTAAAACAATTTTTTGTTATATATATATACATATATAATTATATTACAAATTTTACTTCTTACAATAAACGTATTGACACTTGTATCGCAAACTTTCCGTGCATTAATTTCTTCTTTAAAATTGCAATTCTCCTTCATTTTTTTCTCAAAATACTACACCTAAGAATAAGCATTGCGACACCTCAGAAATATGCTATAAATATTATGGCTGCGAGCTTATGAAATCTCTTCAAATATTAATACCTCAGAGACATAAATCTTATATTTTTGGTAATTCTTATAACTATAATGTAGATTATAACGATTCCGACGAAAAGACATTATGTAAATAATATATTTGATAAATATTTTTATATATTATATTAATGCGAATTATATTTTCCCACTACGAACAATTTATAAAATTACATAAATTCATTGTTATTTATGCTCCTTCAAGAGGAAAGTAAAATTTCGATAATTATAATTTTTGTTAAATAAAACGCAAATCACATGCGATACAATCAATAGCAGCCAATCTGCTGTTTAATTTATTTAAAAGATACTACTAATGACGCTAGTAATTGTCAACATTCTTTGGTGGCTAAAATTTTATTATACAATTCCTGGTTTTATATTATTTATCTGAAGACAAGGAATGCAATTCTATTTTTAAACCGCTAAAGAATGTCTAAAGCTATACTAATTTTGTTTACCGTTCGTTTCAATTACACTTTAAATTCATTATTTTATATTTTCTTATTTCGTTTTAGCAAATAAATTAATATATTTTGCAAGACTAAAATTAAATTCTGATAATGCACAAATATATTTATTAAATACATATTAATTCTTCTTTATCTATTGCCAAGTCACTTCTTCCTCATTTAATTTATATTACGCAAATAACAAATGAAAAAACTCATAATTTTACTTTAAAAAAACAGGATTTAAACTACATGTGTGCCACTAAAAACACGGTATAATTCAGGAGTTATCCGAGACAAATTCTTATCTGTTCCTGTGGCCCATTTGAAAGTCAACTGAATCATAAAACGTAAATTAATTTTTAAAAACTCATACAATTATAAAACCATATTATTCATATCTAAATAATTGTTTTCTTCAACCCCTAACAAAATCAGTAAAAAGTGACTTAAAAAATTTTCACTTTTACCAATTCTATCGCACACTTTATTAACAGTAAAAGTATCTGCTTCTTTAAATAAAAACAAAGTAACGCGTCGGATTTCGTTCAAATATGAACGCAATAATTTAAAAAATTACAATTTATTTCACGGGAAGCTGTTTAGCATTATTTCCCTGAGGGCAACGGTGTTCCATAAGGAAAGTCCGGCACAAAAATCCGCGTAACGAACAACGCAACGATTTGCCTACCTTACTCAGACGCAGCATCTGCATATAAACAATAATAACTATGTACAACTCACTTGGCTGATCCAGATCAGATATCTCCACCTGCGAGTATACCGTGACAATCCCCAACACGAACACCGTGGTTGTAGTCGCGACACTCCACTGGCACCTCCACCACATTTTGTCTCCCTTTCGCGCACTGCACACACCCTCGAATCCTTAGCGTTGCCTCGACCCGACCTAACCTACCGCCGCCGCCCTTTCAGTGGTTACCCAGTCTCGCGACCGTCGTGAACCGGCACTAATTGCAGCCGGTGTTGCTGCAGTCGACACTGTCTTTGTTGTTGTTGTTGTTGCTTCTGCTGTTACTGTTGCTGTTGTCGACGTTGTTGTTGGTGCCGGTGTTGCTGCCGCCGGTACTGCATTGCGCCGCCGTCGTCGACATCGTTTCGCCGGCTTTGCGTCCTCCCAGACGATATCTCCGTTTTCGTTCGCGAACGACCACTTGCCACCTGATCGCTTTAACTGCTCCTAGACGATCCGATGACAATCGCTTCTCCAAACGACCCTGCAGCCTCTATCGTTGATTAGATACTGCTGTGTCAATCGATTCGGCTTCTTCCTGAACACCACACCGATTCAACAGACACGGGAGCGTGTCTCAATTACTCCCGACCTGCGGATTTAATTGCTAACAACAGATTTCCGAAAAATCTTCAACCGTAAATGTCCACCGATCACGGATTGATCTGGATTCAAACTAGCGATACGTTTTAGAACTCACAAATTATTCTTGTAAAACGGCTGGAAAAATCCTCCCACGACGCACTGTCTACTGCCAGTCAGAGAAACCGTGAGGTTTTCGGATTCACAGAGTAGAAAATTATGGAACACACACGTAATAGTTAGAACTTGTTCACGGTTCGAGTTAGGTACCGTTTCGGATTTCTACTCGAACAATCGGGTTTTAGCATACGTTTGGCTACGAGGAAATGAGAGATCTAATATATCAGAGACGATAAGAAAATGGCAGTGTAATCCTGACCGAAGCACGTTTCACGTGTAACTGAAGGAGCACTTCGAACACCATCCGTGGCCTGTCGCGTTCAAAAAGATCGGATGATAGCTAATGTCGGACAGTAACTGGCATCAGGATGGCGTGACATTGGATCGGCGATATGTTTCAATGGAAAGCAAGTTTAGGTAGAGCTCGTTCGCGAAAATTGCCGGTCTCCGGACGGATTCTAACTTGGCCGCAAGTAACGCTCCGGACACGGCTCTAGTTTACTGCACCACTAGCTCCCAATGAACTTGCCCCTATCTCACGGCTCGTTTACCCGTACTACTGGCCGCGCGTATACGTATTCCAAAAGGCGCAAGAATCATCCATCGGTAGGCGCAATTCAATTCTCGCGCGTCGATATTAATCAGCCGATCAAGCTGCTCCAACGAGCGTCGGCAACCGATAATTATTTTCCTGTCCACCGCTATCGAAAGGTTCGCGCACACTTCACGAACCAATCACGGGACCACCGGTCTCTGCTAATCGAGTTGGAGTAAGGATCTAACTGTTCGATCGCGTCCAAGCGTGCACCAGGTCGCGAACACGTGTACATTCACCGTTCTTCGAATTTCTTCGACAAAAACACTACAGACCAACTGTCCACTGTTTTCGCCGGAGATTTACGCGTTTCATGGTAGACTAATGTACGACACACGTTACACGGTAAAATCCTTTGTCATTGCAGTCCACGTGAAGCATCGGTCATCCTAATTGAACTGGTCATTAGTGGCGATGAAAGTGAATGCGAGAAACGGCGGGGAATGGGTTGACGCGTTCTTGACACTGTTTTAATTCATACACCAGCTAGAGCACCGTGATTACGACCGCAAGCTCGCCGATAACAAACCCCCCATATAATAGAGCCACGTCGAGTCCTGACCCGTGGCGGCTCGGTACTGAACCATTGAGTACCGCGAAGGACCACCGCAGGTCGCTTCGGGCATCTTCGCGGTAGCTCGGCCGACGTCGAGCACGCCGGCTACGTCTGTCTCTGTCTCGGCGCGGCGCGGCCGTTTCAGGCGCTGGATCCACGTCCACCTTTGCTTTCTGCCGGTTTTCCACGGGCGTGCGTTCTTCTGCGGTCCCTTCCTCTCGCTTTCTCTGGTGCGTACCGCCGCGCTGAGATCGCTATGATTTACTGGCGCGGCTAATGAGTCGCTATAATCGCTGCGGTACAGCCAGCACGGAAGATCTTCGAAGGATCGACGGTCCGATCCGGAGAAGGATACTCTTTCTTGGTCTGCTTTTCTTCTCTCTCTTTCTCTGTCCCTTTTTCCTTTTCGGCTCTCTTTGTCCGTTTTAATAAAAGGAGCAATAAGATCTGCAGAATGTAACGCGCTCTGCTCGAATCATTTCCGAGACGTTCCATTTTTATTATCAAATAGCTAGAACCGAACACCTGAACCGGGGAATTTCGACGGGAGGAATTCTTGAGAATTGCCGTGTTACGTAACGAGTTATGAGCCCTAGCCCCGTGCCCCGTGTCTAACGGGTTCAGAAATTAATACGTTTTATGGCTCGAAGGTGGCCGTAATTTTCGCATTTCGCAACAACGTGTGAATTAATTGATATTCGTAATTCGGGATACCATGTCGAGCCGGAAGGCGCATTTAGGGGAAGATTATTGCGGTTTGGAATATTGTCGGTTATGTGCGGCATTGCATGGTATTGCTATTTGCGATTTGTGCGTGTGAGTAATATTATATTTGTAGGGTTTCTTTGGTCGTTTTAATAAAACGGCGGAGAAATTATTTTTCAAGTTTAACGGATTGTGCAAGAAAGAATGACTTTGATCATCTTCGGCTAGATTACATATCGTTTTTAGTCGATTTTGTTTGAACTGCACGTAGCATAGAAATTTATCAAACTTTTTTCATTTGTGTATGTTTTCTATCATTTACACGATGAACAGGGATTTTATTTTGATTCTGTAAATATTACCGAAATAATATTTTATGATCTTTAAAGTTTAATCTAAGTAGAAAGGTAGTAACAGTCGTTAATAAAAATATTGATAACATCAATACAGTTTGATTGTTGTCAAATTAAAATGTAATAATTTTAAATGTAATATTAATATTAAAATAACAAAAATTTAACCATTTTGTTTATTGTCTACACTTTGTAGAATAAAGAAGACATAGAAAAATAAGTAGTTCTTATGAAAAATTAAATTAACCATTTTTAATAAAAAGATCAATGTTTTTGTAATATTCTTCTTTTTGCATAACATTTTCTAAGTCTGTTGTGCTATTAGACGTCATTGTTTTTAAATAACTATTTTTAGTACTTCTTTGGCCCAATACGTGCAATAACAGTTTTAAAAAATCATACTTAGAAGATTAGTGGTTCCAAAACATCTGAAAGTTTCTTCGTAGACAACTCTTATTTTGAGAGTTTTAAACGTTTAAAGAAATAACTTTAAACGAAACGCGACCAATGTGCAAGTCGAAAAAGTACATGACCTTTTAAAAGTTCGAAGCACAAGTATTTACATATTATCTAAGATCTGTTGATGTCAATATACATATAAAGAAATAGGTTACATAGAAATCCGTTAGATTGATATTTACTGTTAGCACGTGATTACTTAACGGTTCTTTGAAGTCGTTTCCCTGAAAATCAAGACCTCTATGCTTCACTTTCTCATGTTGTCATAGTTTTTTAAAGAGAATCACCTTTTTCTCACCTCTATCGCCATAACACTTACAAAGCCCATAAAGTTTATGGATTACAACGTACAACTGTATTTATGATTGTAATTAAGGAATGGGAGCTCGTAAAATGTACATAGATTGAAAAACACTATCTTGTTACCGGGAGCATGATACAGGCAAATTAGATCTAGAAAAAAGAAAAGAAAAATTCTTTCCACATATACAATATGTTCGGATTACTTTAAGAATTTTCAAATAAACTAAATTATACAATACATCTGATATAATACTTTCCATCCGTTAGAAACCAACAAATAAGCATACACGAGATGTACGAACGCTTCGTTCATTATAAATCTCATCAATTAATCCAAAATTCATGATCTTTGAACAGTCATCTCTATACGCATGAGCATACACGTATACAAATGAACTCATCGCAGGCAGAAAAACAACTGGATGATTTTGAGATTTTAAATACCCAATGAAGCACGGACCAGCTAGTATTGCATCGAAAGTTTATTCTGAACAAATACTTGGTTTCGCTGACATTTAGAGTCCATTCAAAATTAACCGATGCAAACAAACAGTTCGTTTAATCTTTGTAATTTCGCGATACGCGTTATCGCGCAGAGCTCGTCCGAAAGGAGGTGTGTTCGATACACAAAATACATTTCGCCTCGCGACCGGTGTAACTTTAAAGGTCACCGTTACAAATTTAAGCGCGCACCAGTCAAAATGGGGTTAATGAGCATCACGCAACATATGTTTCCAATTGAGAGGGGGACGCTTATTTGCGTCATAAACATGTTCATGAAAACTGATAGTTCGTGCATAGCTGGTGCACGCGCGAGATAACACCCCCTCTGAAACTTCATGACTACGAGAACTCTCTGCGATCGCGATAAATTCCGGCTTTCGTGTTTCCGTCGCTATCGGGAATCGCCTGCAAATCACTTCCTAATCCTCATCGAGTAGGTATCTCCAAAGGTACCCCGTCCCTAAATCCCCTGTGAACGTTCAGGAACATTCTCGGATTAGTTACGTGTGCATCGTTGTTTTCAAAGCTTTCCTAGTGTAACGTCCCGGCGAATCGGAACTCTTCACCGTAGTACATATGTCGAAAGTTGTTTCGTCAAAGGTCAGCCGAACGGTACGAGAAACCAAATCGCCGTTGCCAGTTTTCATAGTTCGCCTCGGTTTACTGTGTGCGTGGCGTGTAAGTCATATAAATTATGCCGTGTATTATATGTGTACACTTGGTCACGGAAATACCCGCCCATTCGTATGTATGATATATTTTACCAATCAGGTTAATGCTTACTATTAAACTGTACTGATTATACTAAATTTTAGTACTGATTGTACTAATCATTTTAAATGACTTAACTATGTATAATTTCTCAATTTGAATGTGTTCAAATTTATGTAACTAAATGTGTAATTAAAAGTAAGTTATATATTAATCAATGTGTATGGCAGTATAAATTATGCTAGATAATTATAACTTTAACTTCCGTTGGATATGTAACATATATTACATAAGTGGATAGAGAAATACCTTTATGAGTGACTATTTATCGATTAAGCAAGTGTATACATCTATATATGTATATATTTGCATCGTTCAAATTGTTCAATTTCCTATTTAGTTTAATATTGTACTCACTGGTTAACAGTTCGCCGATTAGCTCTAATTGGATGGCAATAGCACGGCAGCACAATCGAATTCAGGAGATACAATACAATTCACGAACTGTTAACTGACTGTTAAGGGGTTACGTAAGTGCACGAGTTGGAACGCTAGAGGACACACTTAGCTTTAACTGTTTCTTTGGCAAACACTTCTCCACTTAAAACTAATAACGTTGTTAATGTGATAATAAATTATTAAATACATTACTGGGGTGACGAAATATTATACACACCATGTGAAATATAAAGAGATTTATGGATTTTTTAAGTAGGTGAAATATTTTATATATCTTTCTTCTGTAGTTTATATTTGAAAATATAATTATTCACTGAAAAAATAAAATCTCGTTTTACGAGTTATAAAAGTTACAATGAATATCGCCATGCATGTGAAATTAATGGCTATGCTCATACTAAAAAATGTACATTATTACCATGTATTTAGGTCAGATTTTAAAGGTTTTAGATTTTAGATCAGTTTCCAGGCAACTTTGAATACTTAACTGTATAAACTCATAGCGTTTAACGTTAACTATTATACAATAAATCTATTACAATAATAACAATGTTTTCATTTTTAAAAGATATGGTATCGTTAATCTATCTTCGTTACGTTTGACACTCATATATCCTAATGTTTAGTTTCAATCCAAATTGTTAGGAGCGATTTTAATTTAATAACTTTAGTTGCATATTTTGTAAGTATTATTTCTGAACTGATAATTGTTCGTGTATTCTCGCAAATGCGAAAATTTGTAAACAGCAACAGGCGATCCACAGGTGTAGAAAATTCAATCTAATTTTTTACATAAATTTCAGTAACAAGAAATTTAATGAAAATAAATGATTCAACTGTATATCCTTTTAAGTGGATGTCTCTAAATATGATTTCATTCGTAAACAGAAAAATATGTTATTCACATCTCATGATCGCACCTTCTGGTCCCCTTCATGCTGGCATCAGCACTTTTATTACATTACGGGATTCTAGTTCCCTCTTGCATTCTCATCACTGTCAACTCTTATCCGCGTCGGAAAGATGGAAGCGTGTCGTCAGTGAATAAGACAATCGCATCCACTTCTCTCTATGTTTACCTCAAATAAACTCAACCAGCCGAACATATGATAGAATTATATTGTTAGAATTATATTACAGAATTAAATTATAGAATAAAATGAAATAAAAGATATTGTATATTGTAAAATGCGTATCTTGTAGCACTGAAAAGTTAGGAGTAAGAGCATTATGTATTATGAATGAGTTACATCGGTACTATTAAATTGTAATCTTTATGTTTTGTTTCTATAACATTCACACACTTTTGTCAAGTTTCATCAAGATAACGAAGAAATCAACGAGATATGATAATGCAAAACTACGTTAAGATATGTAAATTCATTATACAAAATTATATTGTATATTTTTATCATTCAAAATTATACTAAAAATTTGTTATGTTTCTCAGTTTAAATAAATAGATACTGTTAATCTAGGAAAACAAAACAGATAAATAAATCGCAAAGATATT